TATACTATACTATACTATACTATACTATACTATACTATACTATACTACTGAAAATACTGAGTCAGGAGAATCGTCCTATTCAGACTGTGAGAGCAAAGATTATTGACGATGTCTGAGTTTCTAAGATTTGGAGATGAAAGCAAAAAAAAATGGTTATGTATCATGCCAGACTCAGACAAAATTTCATTCATTGGAGGTGTCTCATTATTTAGAAGAATTCAGTGTCCTTGCACATACTACAATGAGGTTGGCTAATGAACTTTCTTTCCTACCTAGAAAGCAAGGTATATTAGTACCTTAAAAGCAACCAAACTTTATTCTATTTGTGAAAATGTATGCCAATAATAATGTTCTATACTCTATATTCATAATTTTGCAATTTAAATATAGATTATCCACTAAATAGTTTTCTTTCCAATTACATTTTATTTGAATTGTTCTGCAAAATTGCTCACTTTCCTAGGAATAGCTTATTGAGGCTTAATTTTCAGTAGATATATGTACTGATTAAATTATGAATTATTATTCATGTCAGTTATTAGTCTATTTAACAATGAATTAAGACTTCAATGTAGAACTAAGTTTTCTTTTATATTTTAGAGATCTCATAAAGGTATTGAAGTGGCATGTTGACCGATTTACTGAAGTAGAAAGGCAAACACACAATCAGGAAGTATTAAAGGTAATAAAACTGAAAGAGATGGTGTAATCTCATCTAGTTTTTTCTAATCTGCTTCTATTCAAAGGTTTTTACTAGATTACAATTGCTATCATTTCCAGTTAGGGCAGCTCCATTTATTTGACACATCTGACTAGAAGCAAATTGAAGAAGTTGATTTAATATGATTGTTAATATTGTTTGTATATAAATATAAAAATGCTAATTCGTGACAAATGAAGTTACCATAGCATGTATCCAGAGTAGAGTCAATTGCATTTTCCTGTTCAAGATTATTTTTATTAGCTTTTCTCAAACCTCTCATCCCAGTGATTCACCCTGAAACCTGTGTGAGTGAAAGATTGCAACTGTGAAAGAACTATATGGGTGCATGATAGATACTTAATATGAGCACAAAATGGATTGGTTCTGTTTAGTAGATGACAGTGTAAAGAACAAAACAAACAAGAACAAAATCGTATTCACATAGATAATTGTATTGATATTGGAAATGGATAGAGAAGAAGTGCAAATAGAAGATAATAGATAATTCCTGGGGTATGTAGCATTTACTGCTTAAGTTATAATGATAGAAAGATAGCAAGAAAAACAACTTTTTCATATCTTTGGGAACTAGTAAATATTAATATTTTTCCATGACTTATCATAGTCTGTTGTATAACTATAAAGATATCAAAGAACTAAAAGCAAAACTTTTGATTAATATCTCTCTCATAGCAGCATATGGAAATTATTGTGAAAGTAGTTTGGCAAATAGCACTTCTGATATAAAATAGATTTAACCTGTTGACTAGCCCATGTGTAAGACACAATTTAAGGGGCCTTACTTATAGTGATGGACAAAATCACTATTTACGATGATAAAAATTTAAAAATTTGGGTTTAGATTTATATTAAAAATATTTGTATTGTGACAGTTGGACTACATTTTTCATTAGATTGAGATCACTTTGGGAAATTGGCATTTATTATTCTAATGAAGATTATTTGGTTAATTGTGAAAGTGTAGTTAGCATGAGATATCTCCAAATATGAGCTATTTTTCTGTATTAAAATATATTTTGGATGATGTTGCAAATGGTTTCATATTGGGACAAATGCAATTGGTTATATGACCTGATATAAAAAAGTGACTGAAATAAAAAGAAATCTTAGTGATACAAGCTGGCTGTCAGGGCTGCCAGAGCCTCCACCCACCCCAGTAGCCAGGCAACCAGAGTTCAATCATCAGCCAGGAAGATGTTTCGAGAACATCTGGTGCAGGTGCATCACTCCTTTGTGCGTGCCAATCCCAGGACAGTTGGCCTTGAAGATATTACACAATCCAAGCTGACTCAAAGCCTCGCTATCTCAGAAATTCCAGTTTCACCTTCTGCACACTTTCCTTCCCAAATATCCATTGTTTCCCCCCCTCCACACACACACACATTTCACCATGGCAGCTGGCAGAAAGCTTGAAGGAAAGCGAAGATAACCAGGCTGACTTTCGGGCCCCCGTAACAGAGGTGTTATCCCTAAAACAAGAAAACAACATACAGATAGGTAAAGCAATATAAACCAAGTACCACTACTCAATCCGGAGCTTGTTAAGGTATTTTCAGGGAAAGGTTTGGAGGAGTTTAGGTACCCAGACATGTTTAGCATCTACTCACTCAGACTATAAGGAAGGAAATGCTTCCATACAACTAGATATTGGACTTTCCCTTTATGTTTCCTAGAATCTAGAACAGGGATGTCAAACTCGCATCATCACAGCAGCATCATGTGACATATTGCAACTCCCCCCCCCTTCGCTAAACTGGGCATGGCCAGCATGTGATGCATCTGCCCGTGGGCCGCGAGTTTGACAGCCCTGATCTAGAATCTCCTTAAGTTCAAAATGCTGCTCTCGTTCAATTAATAAGATGGGCACCAGCGGGGCATTAGGTGTAGGGCGAAGAGGAAAAACAGTTTTAGGTTTCAGTAAACAGCAGTGACACATGGGGTGAATACATTTAAGGTTCATAGGCAATTCCAATTGTAGTGTAACAGGATTATTTTAATGATGGGGAATGGTCCAACATATTTAGGACCTAGGTTTTTATAGTGTTAGGTGGACTGTAGATATTTTTGCAAAGGTAAACTCTGTCACTCACTTTAAAATCTTTTGGTTTCACATGTTTTTGTCAGCTTGTTTCTTTTCTTTTTTTAAAACAAGTTTTATTTCAGTTTTCCACATTTTAAAAAACATCTCTTTTTAGTGAACAGCATGATTACAGGTTTCCACATTTACATACAAATATGACCATAGTTACATATTCCGTAACTAGATTTAAAAATAGATTTAACCATTAGATGGCACTCTTTATTATAACAAATCTTCACCCCTCCTTTTTTTTTATTCAACTATTCAGGTCTTTTTAAACCACAATCTTCCAAGAAAAATGTCAAATCCAATTGGTATTAAGTTTTCCCTTTAACAGTCTCAAATTCAGCTTTATCAGTGCCTATGTAAAATCAAAGTATATTTATCCAAATTAGTTAAATTGTTTCTTCTTCCAGCTTGTACCTTTCTCGGTTCAAAGCCCCCCGCTGTCAGAAACAATTCAATTTTTTTTCTCCTTCCTCTTCGCCACTTTAAATACTTTCTTAAAAATTCTTAAAGATTAATCCTGGGGTACCTTTCATTTAATTATAGCGTCCCGTTTCTCATACTGTCCGCTTATTTCTCTCTCCTGCACAATCTTATTCCAGCTTACTCTTCAGCTTTAGGGTGGCCATTTTAGACCACCGCTTCAGACGTCTTCGGGAGTGAGCATTTGCCAACCCAGGGAGAGGATTTGCAACTCCTCTCTACCCGGCTGATGGTCTCCCCTTCCTCCGCTGCCCCTATGAGGTGGCTTCTGCCCAAATCTAGCCAATCGGGCTTCTCTGACGAAGAAGCATGGACCAAAGCCATGGATGATCACGGTCAGCAGTCCATCTTCGGGGAAGTCCAAAACCAGTGTCAGCTTGTTTCTTATGTACTTGACATATACTTTCAGCACCTTACATGCTATTGGCCAAATATTTTGAAATTGGGCTATCCACTCTCCCAAGGAAGGTATTTGAGGTTTCTCTTGAGGCAGCTCTGGCTTAGCTACAAAATAGTGACCAGAGGCCACCTTAAATTTGATAAACTCTGTGCAACAATGCACTGAATTATTCTATGCCACCTCTGCAAAAGGTAAAGGGTCAGTCCAATTGTCTTGTTGGTAATTAGTGTAGCATCTCAGGTACCGTAACAAGACCGAATTAGCCCTCTCAGACACTTTGAGTTCCCATAAGACTTTTAGAGGTGTATGTGCAGAATAGTAACAGCCCATGGTCATTCTTTTGTAATAGTGCAGCCTCCACAGCTATATTACTCCCGTCTGCCTGAATTACAAAAGGAGAAGTTGGATCAGGATGCTTTAGCACAGGCTCTGTCACAAACAGCTGTTTGAGTTTTTTGAATGCCTCTTGGCACTCCATAGTCCACAAGTGACAGACTCGGCTTCAGCTTGCCCTCGCCCTTAGTTTTTAAAAGATTGGTGATTGGTAATGCAATTTTGGCAAATGAAGTGATGAATTGCCAATGGAAATTGGCAAAACCTAGGAAATGTTGTAATTGCTTCCTAGTGCGGGGAGGGGCCTAAGGTAACCCATGTAATCAATCTTATCTTGGTGAAGATTCACATTTAGAAAGCTTTGCATACAATTCAGCTGCTTGGAGTCTTTTTAGGACCACCCACACTAATTTCACATGCTCTTCCAGTCTCAATATAGTCTCAGTATATATTAAAATATCATTCAAATATACCAATACCCCCTTGTACAAGTAGTCATGCAACGTCTCATTAATCAGTTATATGAACACAGCTGGGGCCCACTGCAGCTGGGGTCCAAAGAGAGTATTCAGAATTGAAAACATCCCAGAGGGCAGTTTTCCATTCATTGCCCTCCTTGATCTGAACTCAGTAATAAGCCTCCCACAGATCTAATTTAGTGAATATTTTGCCTTTGGCAAGTATGTTCTTTGTCATGGGCAACAGACATTTTCCATGCACACTGCATTTAGCTCCTTATAGTCAATGCACTGATGAAGAGTTCCATCCTTTTTCTCCCGCAGCAACACTGGGCCTGCCACCCGTGGTCTAGCCGATCCCATGGATTCCAGTAGTCCTTGGGGATTCTGGGCTCACTTTTTGGGTGCTCCTGCACAACTGCCCCAGCTCTTTTGGTTCTTTGGTTTTCTTGCCTCTGGATATTGGAATTTCTTTCCCCTTTTTGGCCACCTTTGAATATAGATGCAATCAGATGATTGATGAGCCCTCTTCTCTAGTTCACACAAGGTTTCCATTTCTGGAACTGCCAAGGCAGTTCAAGCAGGAGGGGGGGTCTCTCCATTCCTGGTACAACTATAAAATCCAGAAATTTTTTTGTGCTTTCTGTCTGACTTAGCGAACCCAAAAAAAAGTAAATGCTCTGGAGAGTTTTGAATTCCCAAAAGTAAAACTATATTGGATACACCCTCTTGGAACTGCAGAAGCAAAAATAGTTCTGGGTCTCCTGCATAAATAACTGCTTAGTTAAACAACAGATTCTTTCTCCCCACGTCTAAGTGTTCATATTGTCCATTTATAAAACTTCCTTTTGTTATGGGAGCAATTCATTCCTCCATCTAACACCTGCAGTAATAATCTTGATGGGGTTCAGGCTCTCACGGTCCATAGACAAAATTTTAGCATTCCATTCCACCCCTCCCTCGTCCCACTTGAATGACAAGTTGAATAGCGATAGAAGCTCAGAGGAAGTCATGCAATTCAATCTTGGCATACCAACCCTCTGGAGGAAGGTTAGACCTAGAAAAATATCAAACACAGATTAACATCTTTATTCAGGAATCTTTAGCTGTCAATTGTCCCCTTGGATGATGCAGGTATTTAGCATAGAACTTTCTGACTAGTTCATCTGCACTAACATTATGGGCAGCAACCCACTCAGCTTCGGTTGAGGGGTATCCTTTCCACTGCACTAAGTATGCACTAAGTATTGTAATCCCCCTTTAAAATAAGTCCGAAATTTCGTACATAAAATTGAGCTTGAGGACTGGATAAAAATACTATACAAGAACAAAATCCATTGCATATAAGGAAAATCAATATAAGATGTTTTTTCATTGCCATCTGGCCCCTACAAGGTTGGCAAAAATGTACCCAAATCTGAATCCAAGTTGTTGGAAATGCAAACAGGGACAAGGTACCTTCTTTCACTCATGGTGGTTATGCCCCAAAGCAAAAAAGTATTGAATTAAAATACAAAAGTGGTTGTACAAAATAACAAACTGTCAAATAGAATTTAAGTCAGAATTGTTCCTTTTAGGGATAATTAAGGGGAAATATAATAAAAAGATAAAATATATGATCTTGCATATAACTACAGCAGTGAGGATCGCATTTGCACAATGCTGGAAAAAGGATAGCATATCGTCAGAAGGTCTAGTAATCCAAAAGATTTTAGAATGTGCGGAAATTGATAAACTCACCCTAGAGTTAAAAGGTAAAGAAGATTCAGAGTATTATGCTGTATGAGAAAATTGGTATGAATGGATGGACAATAGGAATAAGAATTGTAGAGATAAGAAGAAGGTATAGAAATGTATATAAATAATTAGAGAGAATAATTAGAAATGTATATGTGTATTTGTAACAAAGATACCTCAGTACTATTAAAGATGATTGAGATGTGTAAACAGAAAAAAGTTCAATAAAATAAAATAAAAATAACCTGAGTCCAGTAATTTTTTTATTTCTTTTTTTTAAAATTGGTTTTTAAAACAAACATAAACAAACAAAACATAAAAACATCAAGTCATCTTCCATATATATATACATACAGTGTGCCGGTTGGTTTACAAATTGTTTTGTGCTTCCATTTCGTAGTCTTCAATTACAATTACATTGTATATAATCTCGTATTTTCAATCAAATATTAAATACATTAATATCATTATTAATCAATCATTTGACTATACTTTTATTCATTCATGTTTTATGAAATAATCATGTTTTACTTAATTTGTTTTATGACAGTTCATATTATCATCCCAAATCTATCCTAGAATCATTTTGTAGATATAATAAGAAAAGAATATATCTTAATATATTTATTATTTTCTAAAAGTCTACATATTTCATTACTATATTTTATTGTCTAACCATTGATAGAATAGATCCCAAATTTTATAAAATTGTTTATCATCTTGTTCTCTAATTTCAAATGTCAATCTACTCATTTCAGCACATTCCAATATTTTCTTAATGATTTCCTCCTGTGATGGTATTATCTCATTTTTCCAGTTTTTAGCAAATACAATCCTAGCCGCTGTTAATACATTTACAATCAGGTATTTCAAGTTTTGACTATATATTTCAGGTAAAATTCCCAATAAAAATATCTCTGGTTTCAAATCTATATGTTTTTTTGTCATTTTTTTCCAACCATGTGTGGATTTTAGTCCAGTATTTTTTAGCATCCGCACAAGTCCACCACATATGGTAATATGAGCCAGGTGTCTAATGACATTTCCAACATTTTTCGGATTTGTTCTTGAACATTCTTGCTATTCTTGTCGGGGGAAAATGCCACCTGTAAAACATCTTATACAAATTTTCTTTATATGCTGTTGACATTGTCATTTTATAATTTTGAGACCACAATTTTTGCCATTTCTCTAAATCGATCCCATATCCAACATTCTTCCCCCAAGCAATCATAGTTTCTTTAACTTGTTCTTCTTCTAGTTTAATTTCTAATAAGTATCCATACAATTTTTTTAATCACCTTTTCATCAGTACCTGTCAAAATCTTATCTAAGTCAGTCAGTTTATCATAGAAACCTTCTGTTTTAGAATCTTTATCATACCTTGAATGTATTTGCACATATGAAAACCAATTCATCTTTATACCTTGTTCCTCTAGTTTTTGTATAGATTTGAGTTCACCCTTTTCGTTCAATATTTCACCATATCTGTTTGTTCCTTTTTGTATATTATAGGATAAGAAAATGCTTCAATAGTCGATAGCCAGACTGGAATTTTCAAACAACATTGTCTTTTAATCTTCTCCCAGTTTAACCACAGAGACTCCTGTATATAATATCTTCTAAAATACCCCTGTGTTTTAGTTTCTTTATACCATAGAAAAGCATGCCACCCCAACAACAGATCATGTCCTTCTAATGTCAACAATCTAGTATTTCTTAATGTTATCCATTCCTTAACCCACATCAAATTTGTAGCTTGGTAATACAACTCCCAATTAGCCAAACCAAATCCTCCTCTTATTCTAGCATCTTGCAAAAGTTTTAACTTTATTCTCACTTTCTTACCTGCCATATATATTTCAACACAATTTTATTTAAATCTTCAAAGTAGTCTTTTCCAAGCCTAATTGGAATTGTTTGAAACAAATATAAAATTCTGGGTAATATATTCATCTTGATTGTTGATATTCTCCCTATTAATGACAGTTGTAAATTTTCCCATTTCGCCAAATCTAGCGCTATCTGCTGCTTAAGTTTGATATAATTATTCTCTTTTAGTGTACTGCATCTTGCTGTCAAGTATATCCCCAAGTACTTGATCTTATTCGTGACCTGAATTTTCATTAGGTCTGCCAGTTCTTCCTTTTGTCTTGTTAGCATATTCTTTGTCAAGATCTTTGTCTTATCTTTATTTATTTTCAAACCAGCCACCTTTCCATATGTCTCTATCTTTTTTATCAATTTTGATGCTGTTTCTAGTGGGTCTAGTAACTTTTTTATTTCATAGTGTTCTTCACTTCCCACTATAACAGAAGGTGGAGGCACCCTTTCATCTTTGTCTCAACTTAGAACTGAGGAAGGGTTTTAACAAACTACAGTGGAACCCTGGATGAACTCGCCTAAGTACCTTTGGCAACCACAATTCTACCGTGACTGGGTTTCTAATCTGAATGATTGGAAAAGGCCGTATGTATTTGGGACCCAGTTTCTTACAGGGTTGCCTCAACTTTAAGTATTTAGTAGATAGATATACTTTTTCCCCAATCCTAAATTCCTTCTGGAGAGCTCTTTTCCAGCCAGCTCTTCTCCTGTTTCTTTTGTGACTCTCTGGCTTTATTCAGTGCCTTTTGCACATTCCCCCCGGCAGATTTTAGGGTGTCCATTCATTCAGCTAGCATTACCAATGGAAGTGGGGGCTCCCTCATAAATTCTGGCATCAGTATGAACTCAATTCCTGTGACTACCTTGAATAGGGTGAGCCCAGTGCTATTATGTACCAAGTTATTAAAAGCTACTTCTGCGAAAGGCAGGAGTTCCACCCAATTGGTCTGCAGGTAATTTACATAGCAACGTAAGTATTGCTATTATACATTGAAGTATTGAAATTATAGCCCAACTTACCAAAAAAACCTACTATAAAAGACAAACTAGAAATAAAAATTAAAATAAGCAAGAAAATGGTAAGAGAACACCTGTTAGGGCTCCATCTGTCCATTTCTAGGAAAGGAAAATCCTTGGCTCCATAGATTTAGAGAAAAGTACTTTTAGTAGGAACGAACCGAAAGCAAGAAATTCCAGTCAAGCTCTGAGACAAAGCACGTGAAAACAGCAACTTGAAACAAACTGTACAGCCCAAATCCCTTGTAGCTAGACAACCAGAGGCTACTGCATACCAGAGTTAACAGAAATGACCTTGGAGAGATAGGCCGTAGTTGCAAAGCTGCAATGAAAATTTCTCCACTGATCCCTCCCCACTTTTTTATGACACCAAGCAGCAAGCTAATTGACAACACTTATCTGACCTTGATTAATATAAATCACCAGGACCTGACAGATCACACCTCAAAGTTCTGAAGGAGCTGGAGCACTCAGGAATTTGAAAAGACCTGATTTGGTTCCCATCTTCAAGAAGGGGAAAAAACAGTTGCAAGAAACTACAGACCAATCAGTCTAATATGATTGGGAAGATCCTGGAAAAAATAATCAAAAAACAAATCTGAAAACAACTAGAAGCAAATAAAGTTATAATTAGTAGCCAGCATGGATTTGTTAAAAACAGAGCATGCCAAGCCAATCTTATTGGTTTGGTTGCACAGTGGTTAGAGTGCAGTACTGCAGGCTACTTCTGCTGACTGCCAGATATTTGGTAGTTCAAATCTCACCAGGCTCAAGGTGACTTAGCCGAGGTGGGTAAAATGAGGACCCAAATTGTTGGGGGCAATATGCTGACTCTGTAAACCACTTAGGGAGGGCTGTAAAGCACTGTGAAGTGGTATGTAAGTCTAAATGCTATTGCTATTTCATTCTTTGATAAAGTGACTAAATTAGTAGACCAGCAAAATGCTGTGGACATAGTATACTTAGACTTTAGCAAGGAATTAGATAAAGTAGATCATAACCTACTTCTTGGTAAGCTATAAAAACTCAAGCCGACCTCTCGGAGTCCAGGCCTCTCCATCACTTCTCAGAAATTCCAGTTTTACCTCCTACATGTTTCCCAACTCCCAAATACCCATTGCTTCCCTCCCCCTTATTGTTTCCATGGCAGTTGGCAGCAAGCTTGAAGTGAAGCGTAGATGACCAGGCTAACACTGGCTTTCAATTCCCCTTAATTTAGAAAGGCTGGACATTTTAAAAAATCAATGAATTTAGCAAAGAGTTAATATGGAAAGTTGCCCTCTTGTGATATGAGTTATGCATTTTCAGGTTTAGGCTATACGCTATCTAACTAGTGCTATTTAGAAGAATGTTTATTATTTATAAGCGGGAATGATATACAATCACACATTTTTATTTTATAGGCCCAAGAATATATATTTAAATATATAGTTCAGTCTCGGAAGCTATTCTCTCTTGCTACTGGTGGACAAAATGAGGAGGAATTCAGCTGTTGTATTCAAGAGCTTTTGATGTCAGTACGATTCTTCCTTTCCCAAGAAACTAAAGGAACCAATGCTTTATCTCAGGCCCAAGTAAGTTCTGCAAAAATAGTGCCTTACACAGTTACTCTTCACTTGGCTTCTGTGCATGGTAACTGAAACATAAAAACATAGTAGTGTTTAAATGTGACATGTTAATGCTTCGGATCTATTTTCAGCTGTCTTATTTTCATTTCATTTTATTCATGTATTGGTAACAAAAGTTGAATCAAACATCTGACAGTACTGTCTTTCTGTATGAAGCTTTTGGCTAAATTAACAAGCTATAGAATTGTTTTGTTTCCAGTTGTCTTCCATGATTCAGATGCAGCAATTTGCAGTTAGCTATTTTTTGTTTTGTTTTTTAATTCTAATCTTTCTCTATTTTCACCATAGTCCTTGGATTTCTCATATTTATTTAAAACTGCAAATTATAATATTATTTATACTCTTTTTTTTCCTTGGAACAAATTAAAACTATTAAGAGCAAATTCCAAGTATCTGTTTTTCTTGGAAAATTAGAAAAGGTATGCTTTTTCAAATTAAATTCAAATAAAGTTTTAATTCCTTTTTCTGTCTGTTTGAAGATTTGTACTATACTTAACTTTTTCTGTGTTTGTTCCCAGGCAATATTTCTCAGTTCTTTCCCAGCTATATATTCGGAATTGTTAAAGCTCTTTGATGTGAGGGAAGTAGCAAATTTGGTATGTGATACTCTAAGGAGCTTGCCAATCATTACAAATGCGGATGATTCTCTTCAAGCAGTGAAACTTCAGTGCATTGGAAAAATAGTGGAAAGCCAATTGTATACCAATCCAGGTAGAAACGCAAATACCATTGCTAATTAACTAATATTGAAATAGCTCCTGACACATGCTGATTGTATATAAAGCGGATAAAATGTAATCACATTTGAACTTTATACTAAAGTTGGTATGGTGAATCTGCATGAAGCCCTTGAATAATTTTTTGCAGGACCAGAAGTCCAGCAGTCCAATTATATACGTGTTGTATGCTGCCCTGAGTTACTTTCATGTGAGGTGGCAGCTATACAAATATGATAGATGGATGGATGGATGCAGGGGTGGGATTCAAATTTTTTGACAACCGGTTCTGTGGGTGTGGCTTAGTTGGTGGGCGTGGCTTGGTAGTCATGTGACTGGCTGGGTGTGGCCAACTCAACATCACTCACATTGAGGCACGCATTTCCTCGCCTGGCCTCTCATGACTGTGGGAATGCTGCAACAGTTGTAAGTGTGAAAAATGGTCATAAGTCACTTTTTTCAGTGCCATTGTAACTTTGAACGGTCACTCCACACAAGCAAAGTACCAGCAAAGGAGGAAAAAAAACTCCAGAGAAGTTCCTGAGACAGGAAGTCTAGTCCTGCCAAGAATGTAATAAGGGTTAACGGAGAGGCAGTTTCTGTAAGCAACACCAGAATGTTTATTTCCTGCCTTCCTTACAGGATTAGGCCAGTAATTTATTCTAACAACCAGTTCTCCGAACTGCTTAGAATGTTAACAACCGGTTCTAGCGAATAGGTGCGAACCTGTAGAATCCCACCCCTGGATGAATGGATGGATGGATGGATGGATGGATGGAACTCTGTCTTCCTGTCTGTCTATCAGAAAGATAACTCTCCAAACAGAAAGGAACCAAATTTGGTATGGTGGGAAGCCAGGACACAAAAAAAGGATCAAGTTTGGCCTGGTACTATGGATAAAAAAAGTACAGCATTTTTTTTTCTGTGCACTCCTAATGGAACAAATCTCAGAATGCTGCCATTTTCTGAGCTGCTTTTCTCCTCTTTTCTGTTCATAAGACCTAAAGTGGAGCATACGCAGCCTTTCCTGTGCTCATCTCAGGAATACAGACTCAATACAGAGTGCAGAAACATAACTGTAGAACCAATATGTTCTACAGTTGTTCACATATGTTGCACATATGTGGATGAATACATTTGTAAACTGATCAAAAAGCTTTGAAAGACAAATATCTTCCTGTTCTAAAGCTATTTATCTGCTAGTCAGACTTGTATAGCATTGAAGGGGAGGGGAACATGTTTTGGAGTTTTCTTTGCCAGAAGTGTAGAGACAAGTGGAGTTGCAGGGCACAACAGTTGATGTTTTGTGGCACAACATCAAGTTAACTTTGCCTTGCTGCCAAAATTGATTTATGGCTCCCCATTAGCTTTGACTGGATTTACTACATGCTCAAACTCAAATATTTATAAATATTTTTAAATGTACCTTTTTTGAAGGTACTGAGCATATTCCATAGTAAAGCCCAAAGACAAGAGTCAAACTTGTCTTGTAATTACATGAAGAATGTACTCATCCAGGCAATACTCTTATTATTCAAATATTTATATTTAAATAGTACATCACATTAAAAAGAAATATATTAAGCTGGAATTTACCAAAATAGAATAGTGTTTTATCAACATGTTACTGAAATTAAAATTAGTGAAGAAAGTATTAATAATGCTTTTCCCTTTTCAGTTTACAAGAAAAGTCAATGGGAGCAGCTAGTTTGCTTAACGACTGCGTGATTCACTTACCAACTGCAGTAATTTGCTAAACAATTGTAGCAAAAAAGGTTGTAAAATTGGGTGCAACTCGCTTAACAACCAACCATGTTGCTTAACAATGGAAATTCTGATCCCAGATGTAGTTGCAAGTCAAGGACTACCTATATGTCAAAAATTAAATGTAGTCCTTTGATAGCTCAGTTTGCATCCTTAACCACTGAAAAGACTGGATCATAAAAAGATAGTATCCACAGTATATATTTTGTCTTCCAGAGTCTCGGTATATTTTGCTACCAGTAGTTCTGCATCACCTTTATATGCACCTGCAAGAGCAAAAAGATCTGATCATGTGTGCGCATATCCTTAGCAACATATCTTCCTTCGTTAAGAAAAATAGTTCTGTAAGTAGAAGGAACATCACAGAAAATGGGCTTTTAATTGTTAAGTCTATTTCAAAGGGAAGCAAGACCAAAGTTTATTATTAAGATGCTCCTTTAGTATGTTTCATTGTGGTCTATAATGTATCTGTGCATGCAGAATACTTGTAGAAAGGTTATTAGACAGTTATACTTTTATTAGAAAGTTATATTTTGTGGGGTTGATACTGGCTTAGATATCTCATCAATTTTTTGAAAAAAATAAAATAGTATTGATTTTTTTCAAAAAAAGTTATGGTTCAGAAATATTAAAAATGCTTAATATTTTTGGAAGAGGGAGAATAAATTATTAATTTAAAATATATTTATTTTATCAGTTTGCTTCAGCTTCAGTTCATCAACTTCATAATACTGGGCATATTATCAGAGGTATCTGATGAAGTGAGATGAAGTTCATAAAAACTTAAATACCTTTTAGTAAAATTAATCGTCCAAAAACATGATACTAGACTACTTTTGATTTTTTGCCACTGTAAACTAATGTGGCTCTCCTATAATATTTGAAGTAAATTCTGACCAATATCAAGTATTATGAAGTTATTATTTCTGATAATTTGAAAATATATTTCCCTTGCATGTAACCTATTAGCACAGGGGTGTCAAACTCGCATCTCATGGGCCAGATGCGTCACATGCTGGCCACCCCTGGTTGAGCAAAGGGGAAATGTTGCAATATGTCACATGACAACAATGTGACACCGCATGTTTGACACCCCTGTATTAGAGCTTTCATTTTTATAGCTGTGTCTTATTACATTTATTTTGATCAAATACAGTACAATTCAATTTCTTTTTCAAACATATTATCTATTTCAAACATATCCATTCCTGAGAATCTGACTTTTTTTATAAGTAAAGAACTTTAAATTTCTATTAAATTTCAATCTGCTTGTGTTACTGTAACATGGGTTATGTGGAATTACTCTTTTGTTTGGCTCAGAAGCTAATGCTAATACGAAATGCAGTATCTAGTCTTTGCTATTAGGTATCAGCCTAACTCTAACCCTTACATTCTCAAATGACTGCCAAATGATTACCGAATAATGTTTAGTGTTTTTCCTAAGACCTAAAAGTCTCTAAATATTTTGGAACCAGTTATATCATCCTTACATTGATTGACTGATTGATTATCCAGTTGATTTTGACTCCTGGCAATCATGTAGATTTTCTCCATGGAAGTATTTGCATAGAAAAAGTTTAAATAAATATCTTGTAAATTACTCCAGCATGCACTATCTAATTCTTCCTATTAATAGTATGATTTGTTTTACAACAAAATGGGATTATTATATTTATTTTTCAGTACATTAATCTGTATGATCTTGTCTTTCTTTTTTTTTTTTAAATCAAAGGATAAGTCAGTATTGGAAGAAATAGACGTAATTGTGAACAGTCTACTAGATGTATTACTCAGAACCATCTTGGAGGTCACAAGCTGCCCGCAAGCAGCAGGTTCTACTATGCGGCTTCAGTTTCAGGATGTTACAGTAAGAACTACAGCAGAAATACCTATCGTGAATGTTGAACTATTGATTTATCTCCTTCCTACTATGTATTATTTTTAAAAAAAAAAAAACAAAATTTGGGTCTAAAAATGTGTGCATGTATACACAAGTTGCTCCTGTTTACATTTGCTCCTCTTAGATTAAAACGTTGAAAGAACCCACATTTGAATTTGCAGATTGATCAGAAACTAAATTCAGTTGGCATGTGATTATTCTGAACTGAACTGTTAGGATACTTATAGTACCAGTATGTAGCATTTTCACTGACTAAAGGACTGATAATAAGTGTTCCAAAAGAGTACAGTGTATTGCTAACTTCTCATATTAGATGCAAATAAACATATTTTTTGGCAAATTATAGAGCTGTTACTATCTGTCAAGAGTGTGCAGTCTATGATTTTATGTTAGAGTTAGGACTGCTATGTTATAAAAGCAGTGGTGGGATTCAAATTTCTTAACCGGTTCTGTGGGCATGGCCAAATTTGTGGGTGTGGCTTAGTGGTCATGTTACTGGGTGGGCAGAGCTTGCTGACTGAGCGTGACTAGGTGGTCATGTGACTGGGTGGGCGTGACTTGCTGTCTGAGAGTGGCTAGGTGGTCATGTGACTGAGGGGTTGTGGCCAGGTGGCCATGTGATTGGCAAACCAAATATAAATGGTCCTTGCTTAATGGCCAGTTGCTTAGCAAGTGTTCTAATTTACAATTGACCTCCACAGAGCTACTTGACCTGTTTTTGGTTTTTGACAGTGATGAACACACAGACACGCACACGCACACACACTTATGACCACTAACAACATCCCACACAGACTTGTGACTAACGTTTTCTGTTTTTTGCCAATTTCCAAGGCCTGGGGAACCCTGGAGAGGGCAGGGCGGGGTCCGGGCAGCTACGAGGAGGGCTGGGCGAGGCCCATAGCATTCCAGATAGATCTCAGCTGAGTCAAGGAATCAAGCTAGCTGGTCTGGGTCCCCATTAAATTTCCTCCTGAACAGGGGCAGTTCATTGGGCTCTGCACATTCCTCTCCCTGTCTCCCTCTATAAGCCTGCACTTGAGGTGGCTGACTTTCCTCTCCAGCTCTAGCTCACACAGGAAGGGACTGCCTGCTGCATGGGGGTAGCACTGGCTGCCACTGTGGGTTCTTTTTTCTTCTGGTATGTAGAGAAGGAATGCTGTGGTCTTGTCTACAGCACTTCAAAAGGCCCTGTAAAAATTCCCCTCTGTTTTGGGTGGCCATCATCTCGAATGGTGGCCTGTTCAGATCCCTCCCTCAGCTGCTCTATGGATCTCCCCATCAGGTACTTATCTGTTTTTTCCCCCTTCCAATGGAGCAGGTTTTTCCTGTTTGAAGTTTAAGAAGAGCTGTCCTCCTTCTGTATTTATGCTATCAGTTTCTGTTTGCTTCTGGCTGGAAGCCAAGCTTTCTCCTGATAGCCTCTGCCATGGCTGCCTGAATTTCTCTCCACACACCCCAGATGTCAGGGAGCGATGGAAGAGGCTGGGACGCAGGCACCCCGGTGATTAATTATGAGAGTTGGCTATCTGTCAGGATTCCGACAGTTACTCCAATTAAATCATGACCCTTGAGCCACACTCCCAGAACTAAAGAAGATTTATTTGAAGTTAACCTTCTAAGCCAATTCTGAGATACGTAATTCACTGTCACCCTTGATCCTACTTTTCCCCCCTACCCCTCTGGGTGTATCATCCAATGAAAAACGTCCGTAGCCAAAAGTCATCAATCATGCTCTCCAATTAGATTTTTGCGCGGCAGAAGCTTCAGTCATCTAATCAGTCTTTGAAGAAAATATGAATGGAATGTACTTTCGATTCCCCACTGCTGCCTACTCTTTGAAACTCTTCCCCCTCCTATAATTGTTGTCAACCATAAAATGTGTATACAAAATGTTTTATGAGTTGACACTATAGTCATCTACAATGCCCAGTGCATATTTTGTTCCTCCCAAACTGGCTTGCATTGGCCCAGCTAAATCTGCATGCACCAGCTCTAGAGTTCTTGTTATCTGCCTTGTGCTACTCTTGCTCTCTAGGAATGCCTTGGACTTTGATGATTTGCATACTTCAGAGTCCAAATATGCCTTGCATCCCTTTACACGAAATCCTGCATATTGTTCCATTTTTGAACAACTTTGAGGCTTAGACATGAACCATGCTCTGCCACATTTGCCAAATGTTTGTGCACATTGAATATTTTGTCTCTGAAACACATAAAGGTTATATTGCTTTATGCCCTTTGCACATATTTTGCCATTGTGCTTTATGAAACACTTCCCATTTACAAATGTGGTCTCAAATCCTTGCTTGTCTAAACTAGAGCCACTCAGCAAATTATGCTCCATTTCAGGCACACACAAAACATCACTGAACCTTGTTTCCGGATATGGAATTTGCACACTGCCCCTTCCAATGACTTTAGCTCGTTTGGCATTTGCCAAGGCTACTGCATCTCCAGCAGCTGCATCCATCCTGTAAAACAATTTAGAATTATTAACAATTGTTTGACTAGCCCCACTGTCAATCAGCCATTGATCTCTTCTATTGCGATAGCTGACTTTTGCAACAACAGCCTGTCCATCAGCTAATTGTCTTCCTTGCAAACTGCTTATTTTGTCTTGCAAACAGTTTTTTCCTTGCAACTTGCTTCTGTGCAAACAGTCTCTCTTTAAATGAGTTGTTTCTCTACAAATGAAGCACCTCTTCTGTTGCTGGGTTGTAATCTGATATCCCCTGCTTCTCTTCTCTTCTCTGGAGACAGCCAGCCTGTGGAATTTTCCATTCTGCTCCTTGGACCTCCTCAGGGATTTCTCTTCCTTGTGGCTTTTTCTATAATGGCATTTCTGCTCTTCATCTAGCAAACAGGCTTTAAGAGCTTCCAAATGCAGTTCCTGCTCTGGTTTGCATTCAAATACTGCAGAAACAATGTCCCACGAGTCATCTAGACCAGTGATCCCCAACCTTTTCTACGCCGGGGCCCAGTACTGGCATCAGCTGGGCGCCGCGGCCCGGTACCGGCATCAGCTGGGCGCCGCCATCTTTTTTTGATGAAAACGTGCTTCCGGTGAGCTTTCTACCCGGAAAAGCTCACCGGAAGCACTTTTTCATCAAAAAAAGATGGCGGCGCCCAGCAAGCCAGCGGCCCGGTAGGACTTGTTCCGCGGACCGGTACCGGTCCGCGGACCGGTGGTTGGGGACCTCTGATCTAGACTGTTCAAAACCAAAAGCACTTTCTGAGATTCAGGAATCTGCATTCCATGCTGTTCTAACTCCACAAACAAAATTTGCATGTGCACCAGATGCTGCTCAGTGGATTCTCCTGGTTGCAAACTGGCTCTGTATAACTTTCATGATAATTGCACAATATTGCAGGCAGATACACTCACATATACAGTCCTTAATTTTTGCCAGACCTCCTTTGCAGTCTTTAAATGAGCTACATTGATAAACTTTTTCATCTTGTAAATTTAAGATGATATAAGCCATTGCATTATTATGCTGCCTCTGATCTGCAGCAGTTAAGGGCACTTGGATTGGGTTTTCCACACTATCCCACAGCTCTTTAGTTTTCAGCAAACATTACATCTTTGCAGCCCAAATAATGTAATTCTTCTGACCCAAACGAGGCAGAGAGTTCTCCTTAATTTTCTCAGCCACCCTGCAAAGCTTTTCTCTGTCTTGTTTCTCCTTTTAAAACATAGTCAGTCTCTCTCAGCTCAAATTAGAATGCAGTCTTTATGTGTGTTCTGGTTCTGGTTCTGGTTGGGCCCATAATCTGTTTGCAGCAGAAATTCCAGTCCAGAAAACACACAGATGACTGACTCTGCAGGATTCATTAAACTTCTTTTTATATAAAAATAAGTAAAGTTTACAATATCAGTAGTAGATTCTTCCAATATGGAAGTTACAAAGAGCAACTCAGGAACTCAGAGCAGATGTCAGTTTCCATTCTCAGCAAAGCACACAAAGCCAAACCACACCCAGATTGTCAGCTCCCATTGGCTAGTCTTATCCACTTGCTGACTTTGTTAACCATGTCTCTGCCAGTTAATGAATATACTCTGACAGAACTACAAACAGAAGAGAAAAAGAAATAGAAATGGGCAGCCTTTATTTCTGGAGTGACTCAGAGGAGAATCCCAGAAAATGCTAGAAAATAACATTGGCTGCTTCCAATTTAATTTTCTTTTTTTTAGTGGAACTAAAGCCTTTCTTCAAATTTATTTTTTAAAAGCAGGGAGAAAGGAAAAAAAGAATATTCCAAGCAACAAAGTATCACTGATTTAATTAGATGTGCCAATCAAATCATTAAAAGAGAGAGTGGAAGTGAGGGAAAATGAGATTTCATTTGCATCTCTATGGTTCGCTTATCCGACTGTCTGAGCAAGTCGGCAGTCTGAGCAAGTCACTTTCAAAAAAAGCAATCCATGCACACCTCCAATGAATGCCCCCCTCCCCTCTTGGACTCATAGGATGCCCCCTTCCAAATCAGGAGGGGGGAGGCTGAGAGCAATGAGATGGGAAAGCTAAGTTTAGTTTAGTTTATTGTCATTGCACCTTGTACAATGAAATCAAACACCATCTTCAGTGCACATCATGACCCTGAAAATAAACACAAACACACATCCTTCACACTCCACACATTGAACTGAAACCCCCAACACCGCACCAACACTGCACTATACAGCAGAATTCAGTTGAGCTACTGCACTGGAATAGAAGCTGTTTTTCAGCCTATTTGTCCTTGTTTTTATTATTCTGTACCGTCTGCCAGATGGTAATAGTTTAAAAAAAAAGGATTCCCAGGATGAGATGGATCTTTGAGAATGTTTTGAACTTTCTTAAGGCAGCGGGAACTATAAAGATCTCCCCTCCAAAGAGGGGAGAGGGCAACCAATGATATTTTGGGCAATGAAGTTAACCCTCTGGAGTGCTTTCCTATCTGCCACTGTGCAATTGGAAAAC